TCATTCTCCTCTTCCTCCTCCTCATTGTCCTCCTCTTCCTCCTCTCCTTCCTCCTCCTCCTCATTCTCTTCTTCTTCCTCTTCCTCTTCCTCTTCCTCCTCCTCCTCTCCAGGATCAGTTAAAGGTTGGGATCAGCAGTACAGATCTGGAGATTCCTCACTATCAGTACAGTGAGTCTCCTCATATCATTACAAATGGTTGATGAATGTTTCCTGGGCTCTGATTGGTTGATGAGTGTTTCCTGGGCTCTGATTGGTTGATGAGTGTTCCCTAGTCTCTGAATGGTTGACGAGTGTTTCCTGGTCTCTAATTGGTTGATGAGTGTTTCCTGGTCTCTGATTGGTTGATGAGTGTTCCCTGGTCTCTGAATGGTTGATGAGTGTTTCCTGGTCTCTGAATGGTTGATGAGTGTTTCCTGGTCTCTGATTGGTTGATGAGTGTTTCCTGGTCTCTGAATGGTTGAGTGTTTCCTGCGCTCTGATTGGTTGATGAGTGTTTCCTGGTCTCTGATTGGTTGATGAGTGTGTCCTGGTCTCTGAATGGTTGATGAGTGTGTCCTGGGCTCTGATTGGTTGATGAGTGTTTCCTGGTCTCTGATTGGTTGATGGTCTCTGAATGGTTGATGAGTGTTTCCTGGTCTCTGATTGGTTGATGAGTGTTCCCTGGTCTCTGATTGGTTGATGAGTGTTCCCTGGTCTCTGATTGGTTGATGAATGTTCCCTGGTCTCTGAATGGTTGAGTGTTTCCTGGTCTCTGAATGGTTGATGAGTGTTTCCTGGTCTCTGAATGGTTGATGAGTGTTTCCTGGTCTCTGAATGGTTGATAAGTGTTTCCTGGTCTCTGAATGGTTGAGTGTTCCCTGGTCTCTGAATGGTTGAGTGTTTCCTGGTCTCTGATTGGTTGATGAGTGTTTCCTGGTCTCTGAATGGTTGATGAGTGTTTCCTGGTCTCTGAATGGTTGAGTGTTTCCTGGTCTCTGATTGGTTGATGAGTGTTTCCTGGTCTCTGAATGGTTGATAAGTGTTTCCTGGTCTCTGAATGGTTGAGTGTTCCCTGGTCTCTGAATGGTTGAGTGTTTCCTGGTCTCTGATTGGTTGATGAGTGTTTCCTGGTCTCTGAATGGTTGATGAGTGTTTCCTGGTCTATGAATGGTTGATGAGTGTTCCCTGGTCTCTGAATGGTTGATGAGTGTTTCCTGGTCTCTGATTGGTTGATGAGTGTTCCCTGGTCTCTGAATGGTTGATGAGTGTTCCCTGGTCTCTGATTGGTTGATGAGTGTTCCCTGGTCTCTGATTGGTTGATGAATGTTCCCTGGTCTCTGAATGGTTGAGTATTTCCTGGTCTCTGAATGGTTGAGTGTTTCCTGGTCTCTGAATGGTTGACGAGTGTTCCCTGGTCTCTGATTGGTTGATGAATGTTCCCTGGTCTCTGAATGGTTGAGTGTTTCCTGGTCTCTGAATGGTTGATGAGTGTTTCCTGGTCTCTGAATGGTTGATGAGTGTTTCCTGGTCTCTGATTGGTTGATGAGTGTTTCCTGGTCTCTGAATGGTTGATGAGTGTTTCCTGGTCTCTGATTGGTTGATGAGTGTTTCCTGGTCTCTGAATGGTTGATGAGTGTTTCCTGGTCTATGAATGGTTGATGAGTGTTCCCTGGTCTCTGAATGGTTGATGAGTGTTTCCTGGTCTCTGATTGGTTGATGAGTGTTTCCTGGTCTCTGAATGGTTGATGAGTGTTTCCTGGTCTATGAATGGTTGATGAGTGTTCCCTCGTCTCTGAATGGTTGATGAGTGTTTCCTGGTCTCTGATTGGTTGATGAGTGTTTCCTGGTCTCTGAATGGTTGATGAGTGTTTCCTGGTCTATGAATGGTTGATGAGTGTTCCCTCGTCTCTGAATGGTTGATGAGTGTTTCCCGGTCTCTGAATGGTTGATGAGTGTTTCCTGGTCTCTGATTGGTTGATGAGTGTTTCCTGGTCTCTGAATGGTTGATGAGTGTTTCCTGCTCTCTGATTGGTTGATGAGTGGGTGAGTGCTCTGTTTTCTTGTTTTTTTTGTGTAGTCTTCAAGCCTATCTTTGCTTCGGCTAAAATGTGCATCAACCCGACGGCTGAGCTGGAACTGAAGAGTCCAAAACTAGACCTGAACCTGGAGGTCCAGAACATCGACATCCAGATCACCAGACCTCAGGTGAGACAGAGAGACAGGTGAGACAGACAGACAGACAGGAGAGACAGGTGAGACAGAGAGACAGGTGAGACACACAGAGAGACAGGTGAGACAGACAGAGAGACAGGTGAGACAGACAGGAGAGACAGGTGAGACAGACAGACAGACAGACAGGAGAGACAGAGAGACAGATGAGACAGACAGAGAGACAGGTGAGACAGACAGGAGAGACAGGTGAGACAGACAGACAGACAGGAGAGACAGAGAGACAGGTGAGACAGACAGAGAGACAGGTGAGACAGGTGAGACAGAGAGACAGACAGAGAGACAAAGAGAGGGACAGGTGAGACATCCAGATCACCAGACGTCAGGTGAGACAGAGAGACAGACTGTTGAGACAGTGCTTTAGAGAGAGAGACAAAGACAAAGAGAGAGAGACAAAGAGAGAGAGACATCCAGACCTCCGGTGAGACAGAGAGACAGGTCAGACATCCAGATCACCAGACCTCAGGTGAGACAGAGAGACAAACAGAGAGACAGGTGAGACAGAGAGACAGGTCAGACATCCAGATCACCAGACCTCAGGTGAGACAGAGAGACAAACAGAGAGACAGGTAAGACAGAGAGACAGGTCAGACATCCAGATCACCAGACCTCAGGTGAGACAGAGAGACACACAGAGAGACAGGTGAGACAGAGAGACAGGTGAGACATCCAGATCACCAGACGTCAGGTGAGACAGAGAGACTGACTGTTGAGACAGTGCTTTAGAGAGAGAGACAAAGACAAAGAGAGAGAGACAAAGAGAGAGAGACATCCAGACCTCCGGTGAGACAGAGAGACAGGTCAGACATCCAGATCACCAGACCTCAGGTGAGACAGAGAGACAAACAGAGAGACAGAGAGACAGGTGAGACAGAGAGACAGGTCAGACATCCAGATCACCAGATCTCAGGTGAGACAGAGAGACAAACAGAGAGACAGGTGAGACAGAGAGACAGGTCAGACATCCAGATCACCAGATCTCAGGTGAGACAGAGAGACAAACAGAGAGACAGGTGAGACAGAGAGACAGGTCAGACATCCAGATCACCAGACCTCAGGTGAGACAGACAGAGAAAACTGTCTGTAAACTTTGCTGTTGTTGTTGTTTGTCTTCAGTACCTGAGTGTGGTGCAGGCTTTGGAGTCAGTGGACTGCTCGGTGAGGAGCGCCCCCTACAGGAGGTTCAGACCTGAGGGGTCGGTCCACACCAATGCCAAGCTGTGGTCAGTACCTCAGAACCAGGTCCTCAGAACCTCAGAACCAGGTCCTCAGAACCAGGTCCTCAGAACCAGGTCCTCAGAATCAGGTCCTCACTCCCTCAGAATCAGGTCTTCAGAACCTCAGAACCAGGTCCTCAGAATCAGGTCCTCACTCCCTCAGAACCAGGTCCTCAGTAACTCAGACCCAGGTCCTCAGTACCTCAGACCCAGGTCCTCAGACCCAGGTCCTCAGAACCTCATAATCAGGTCCTCAGAACCTCAGAACCAGGACCTCAGAACCAGGTCCTCAGGACCTCAGAACCAGTTCCTCAGTACCTCAGAACCAGAACCTCAGAACCAGTTATTCAGTACCTCAGAACCAGGTCCTCAGTACCTCAGAACCTGTTCCTCAGAGCCAGGTCCTCAGAACCAGGTCTTCAGTACCTCAGAATCAGTTCCTCAGTACCTCAGAAACCGGTCCTCATAACCAGTTCCTCAGTCCCACAGTACTCCAGAACCAGGTCCTCAGAATCAGGTCCTCAGTCCCTCAGAACCATGTCCTCAGTACCTCAGACCCAGGTTCCCAGTACCAGGTCCTCAGAACCAGGTCCTTAGATACCAGGTCCTCAGAGAGTCGTGAACGCTGACCACAGGGAGTCCTGGACCCTGGTTATGTGGTCCTGGTCTATAAGCAGCTAACTACTTTACCTGGTTTCTCTCTCCACCAGGTGGGACTACGGCTACAAGAGCGTGCTGCAGGACCACCGCAGACGGGTCAGAACCTCGTCCTGGTCCAGCATCAAAAAGCACCGTGACAACCTGAAGGCCTACAAGCTGGCCTATAAGAACAAGATCCTGAACCAGAAGCTGGGGGCCGAGGCCGAGAGGACTCTGCAGGTCCCTGAACGCACCGCCACACAATACACAACACATTGAGACAGGTCCCTGAACGCACCACCACACAATACACAACACATTGAGACAGGTCTCTGAACGCACCGCCACACAATACACAACACATTGAGACAGGTCCCTGAACGCACCACCACACAATACACAACACAATGAGACAGGTCCCTGAACACACCAACACACAATACACAATACATTGAGACATGAGAGGTCCCTGAACGCACCACCACATAATACACAGTACATTGAGACAGGTCCCTGAACGCACCGCCACACAATACATTGAGACAGGTCCCTGACCGCACCGCCACACAATACACACTACAATGAGACAGGTGCCTGAACGCACCGCCACACAGTACAATGAGACAGGTCCCTGAACGCACTGCCATATAATACACAATACATTGAGACAGGTCCCTGAACGCACCGCCACACACTACACAATACATTGAGACATGTCCCTGAACGCACCGCCACATAATACACAATATAAGGAGACATGAGAGAACTCTGCAGGTCCCTGAACGCACCGCCACACAATACACAACACATTGAGACATGAGAGAACTCTGCAGGTCCCTGAACGCACCGCCACACGATACATTGAGAGATGAGAGAACTCTGCAGGTCCCTGAATGCACCACCACATAATACACAATACATGGAGACATGAGAGAACTCCACAGGTCCCTGAACGCACCGCCACACAATACACAACACATTGAGACATGAGAGAACTCTGCAGGTCCCTGAACGCACTGCCACACAATACACAACACATTGAGACATGAGAGAACTCTGCAGGTCCCTGAACGCACCGCCACACAATACACAACACATTGAGACATGAGAGAACTCTGCAGGTCCCTGAACGCACCGCCACACAATACATTGAGAGATGAGAGAACTCTGCATGTCTCTGAACCGCTCTGAACGCACCGCCACACAATACACAATACAATGAGACAAAAGAGGTCCCTGAATGCATCGCCACATACTACACAATACATTGAGACACGAGAGGACTCTGCAGGTCCCTGATCGCACCACCACACAATACACAACACATTGAGACAGGTCCCTGAACGCACCGCCAGACAATACACAACACATTGAGACAGGTCCCTGAACGCACCGCCAGACAATACACAACACATTGAGACAGGTCCCTGAACGCACCGCCAGACAATACACAACACATTGAGACATGTCCCTGAACGCACCGACACACAATACACAATACATTGAGACATGAGAGGTCCCTGAACGCACCACCACATAATACACAGTACATTGAGACAGGTCCCTGAACGCACCGCCACACAATACATTGAGACAGGTCCCTGACCGCACCGCCACACAATACACACTACAATGAGACAGGTCCCTGAACGCACCGCCACGCAGTACAATGAGACAGGTCCCTGCACGCACTGCCATATAATACACAATACATTGAGACAGGTCCCTGAACGCACCGCCACACACTACACAATACATTGAGACATGTCCCTGAACGCACCGCCACATAATACACAATATAAGGAGACATGAGAGAACTCTGCAGGTCCCTGAACGCACCGCCACACAATACACAACACATTAAGACATGAGAGAACTCTGCAGGTCCCTGAACGCACCGCCACACGATACATTGAGAGATGAGAGAACTCTGCAGGTCCCTGAACGCACCACCACATAATACACACTACATGGAGACATGAGAGAACTCCACAGGTCCCTGAACGCACCGCCACACAATACACGACACATTGAGACATGAGAGAACGCTGCAGGTCCCTGAACGCACCGCCACACAATACACAACACATTGAGACATGAGAGAACTCCACAGGTCCCTGAACGCACCGCCACACAATACACAACACATTGAGACATGAGAGAACTCCACAGGTCCCTGAACGCATCGCCACACAATACACAATACAATGAGACAAAAGAGGTCCCTGAATGCATCGCCACATACTACACAATACATTGAGACACGAGAGGACTCTGCAGGTCCCTGAACGCACCACCACACAATACACAACACATTGAGACAGGTCCCTGAACAAACCGCCAGACAATACACAACACATTGAGACAGGTCCCTGAACGCACCACCACACAACACACAGTACATTGAGACAGGTCCCTGAACACACCGCCACACAATACACAACACATTGAGACAGGTCCCTGAACGAACCACCACACAACACACAGTACATTGAGACAGGTCCCTGAAGACACCGCCACACAATACACAACACATTGAGACAGGTCCCTGAACGCACCGCGACACAATACACAACACATTGAGAAAGGTCTCTGAACGCACCGCCACACAATACACAATACATTGAGACACGAGAGGACTCTGCAGGTCCCTGAACGCACCACCACACAATACACAACACATTGAGACAGGTCCCTGAACGCACCGCCAGACAACACACAGTACATTGAGACAGGTCCCTGAACACACCACCACACAATACACAACACATTGAGACAGGTCCCTGAATGCACCACCACACAATACACAACACATTGAGACAGGTCCCTGAACGCACCGCCACACAATACACAACACATTGAGAAAGGTCCCTGAACGCACCGCCACACAATACACAACACATTGATGCAGGTCCCTGAACGCACCACCACACAATACACAGTACATTGAGATATGAGAGAACTCTGCAGGTCCCTGAATGCACCGCCAGACGTGAGATAACTCTGTGTGTGTGTGTACTAACTGACTGCCCCCCCCCCCCCCCCCCCCCCAGGATCTGGAGAAGGATCTGGACGTCTTCAACATAACGCTGACCCGGCAGCAGGCCCACATGGAGGTAACCCTGCTCCCTGACTCCTCTCTGATTGCACACACACACACACACACACACACACACACACACACACACACACACACACACACACACACACACACACACACACCACACACACACACACACACACACACACACACAGAGAGCTGCAGAGTGTGTTTGAATTCCAACACAGAGAAATGTTGTCAGTAGTTTATGCAATAAAATAAAGAGATGTTCATTTCACTAGTCAAACTGATCATTCTGCAGTGGTCTCCCCTGTCTCTCCCCTGTCTCTCACCTGTCTCTCACCTGTCTCTCACCTGTCTCTCCCCCTGTCTCTCCCTGTACCTATCAACTGTCCTCCTGTCTCTCACCTGTCTCTCCCGTCTCTCCCTGTCTCTCCCCCTGTCTCTCACCTGTCTCTCACCTGTTCTCTCACCGTTCTCTCCACCTGTCTCTCCCCCTGTTCTCTCACCTGTCTCTCCCCTGTCTCTCCCCTGTCTCTCACCCTGTCTCTCACCTGTCTCTCACCTGTCTCTCACCTGTCTCTCCCCCTGTCTCTCACTGTCTCTCCCCTGTCTCTCACCTGTCTCTCCCCCCCCCCTGTCTCTCACCTGTCTCTCACCTGTCTCTCCCCTGTCTCTCCCCTGTCTCTCCCCGTCTCCTCCACCTGTCTCTCACCTGTCTCTCACCTGTCTGTCCCCTGTCTCTCCCCTGTCTGTCCCCTGTCTCTCCCCTGTCTGTCCCCTGTCTCTCACCTGTCTGTCCCCTGTCTCTCACCTGTCTGTCCCCTGTCTCTCACCTGTCTGTCCCCTGTCTCTCCCTGTCCTGTCCCCTGTCTCTCACCTGTCTGTCCCTGTCTCTCACCTGTCTCTTCACCTGTCTCTCACCTGTCTGTCCCCTGTCTCTCCCTCTGTCTCTCTCCCTGTCTATCCCCTGTCTCCCCACCTGTCTCCTCACCTGTCTCTCCCCTGTCTCTCCCCTTGTCTGTCCCCTGTCTCTCACTGTCTCCACCTGTCTCTCACCTGTCTCTCCCCTGTCTCTCACCTGTCTCTCCCCTGTCTCTCCCCGTCTGTCCCCTGTCTCTCACCTGTCTCTCACCTGTCTCTCCCCTGTCTCTCACCTGTCTGTCTCTCACCTGTACTCTCACCTGTCTGTCCCCTGTCTCTCACCTGTCTCTCCCCTGTCTCTCACCTGTCTTCACCCTGTCTCTCCCCTGTCTCTCACCTGTCTGTCCACCTGTCTCTCACCTGTCTCTCACCTGTCTCTCACCTGTCTGTCCCCTGTCTCTCCCCTGTCTGTTCCCCTGTCTCTCACCTGTCTGTCCCCTGTCTCTCACCTGTCTGTCCCCTGTCTCTCACCTGTCTCTCACCTGTCTGTCCCCTGTCTCTCACCTGTCTCTCACCTGTCTGTCCCCTGTCTCTCACCTGTCTGTCCCCTGTCTCTCACCTGTCTCTCACCTGTCTGTCCCCTGTCTCTCACCTGTCTCTCACCTGTCTGTCCCCTGTCTCTCACCTGTCTGTCCCCTGTCTCTCACCTGTCTCTCACCTGTCTCTCACCTGTCTGTCCCCTGTCTCTCACCTGTCTCTCACCTGTCTCTCACCTGTCTGTCCCCTGTCTCTCACCTGTCTGTCCCCTGTCTCTCACCTGTCTGTCCCCTGTCTCTCACCTGTCTCTCACCTGTCTCTCACCTGTCTCTCACCTGTCTCTCACCTGTCTCTCACCTGTCTCTCACTTGTCTGTCCCCTGTCTCTCACCTGTCTCTCCCCTGTCTCTCACCTGTCTCTCACCTGTCTCTCACCTGTCTCTCACCTGTCTCTCACCTGTCTCTCACCTGTCTCTCACCTGTCTCTCACATGTCTCTCACCTGTCTCTCACCTGTCTCTCACCTGTCTCTCACCTGTGTCCTACCTGTGTCCTACCTGTCTCTCACCTGTCTCTCCCCTGTCTCTCACCTGTCTCTCACCTGTCTCTCCCCTGTCTCTCACCTGTCTCTCACCTGTCTCTCATCTGTCTCTCACCTGTCTCTCACCTGTCTCTCCCCTGTCTCTCACCTGTCTCTCACCTGTGTCCTACCTGTGTCCTACCTGTCTCTCCCCTGTCTCTCACCTGTCTCTCACCTGTCTCTCACATGTCTCTCACCTGTCTCTCACCTGTCTCTCCCCTGTCTCTCACCTGTCTCTCCCCGGTCTCTCACATGTCTCTCACCTGTCTCTCACCTGTCTCTCCCCTGTCTGTCACCTGTCTCTCCCCTGTCTCTCCCCTGTCTCTCACCCGTCTTTCACCCGTCTCTCACCCGTCTCTCACATGTCTCTCACCTGTCTCTCCCCTGTCACTCACCTGTCTCTCACCTGTCTCTCACCTGTCTCTCACCTTTCTCTCATCTGTCTCTCACCTGTCTCTCACCTGTCTCCTACCTGTCTCTCCCCTGTCTCTCACCTGTCTCTCACCTGTCTCTCCCCGTCTCTCACCTGTCTCACCTGTCTCTCACCTGTCTCTCCCCTGTCTTTCACCTGTCTGTCCCCTGTCTCTCACCTGTCTCTCACCTGTATGTCCTCCTGTCTCTCTCCTGTCTCTCACCTGTCTGTCTCACCTGTCTCTGCCCTGTCTCTCACCCGTGTCCTACCTGTCTCTCCCCTGTCTCTCCCCTGTCTCTCCCCTGTCTCTCACCTGTCCGTCCCCTGTCTCTCACCTGTCTCTCACCTGTCTCTCCCCTGTCTCTCGCCTGTCTGTCCCCTGTCTCTCACCTGTCTCTCACCTGTGTCCTACCTGTCTCTCCCCTGTTTCTCACCTGTCTCTCACCTGTGTCCTACATGTCTCTCCCCTGTCTCTCCCCTGTCTCTCCCCTGTCTCTCACATGTCTCTCACCTGTCTCTCCCCTGTCACTCACCTGTCTCTCACCTGTCTCTTACCCGTCTCTCCCCTGTCTCTCACCTGTGTCCTACCTGTCTCTCATCTGTCTCTCACCTGTCTCTCACCTGTCTCTCATCTGTCTCTCACCTGTCTCTCACCTGTCTCTCCCCTGTCTCTCACCTGTGTCCTACCTGTCTCTCCCCTGTCTCTCCCCTGTCTCTCACCTGTCTCTCACCTGTCTCTCCCCTGTCACTCACCTGTCTCTTACCCGTCTTTCACCTGTCTCTCACATGTCTCTCACCTGTCTCTCCCCTGTCACTCACCTGTCTCTCACCTGTCTCTTACCCGTCTCTCCCCTGTCTCTCACCTGTGTCCTACCTGTCTCTCATCTGTCTCTCACCTGTCTCTCACCTGTCTCTCATCTGTCTCTCACCTGTCTCTCACCTGTCTCTCCCCTGTCTCTCACCTGTGTCCTACCTGTCTCTCCCCTGTCTCTCACCTGTCTCTCACCTGTCTCTCACCTGTCACTCACCTGTCTCTCACCTGTCTCTTACCCGTCTCTCCCCTGTCTCTCACCTGTGTCCTACCTGTCTCTCATCTGTCTCTCACCTGTCTCTCACCTGTCTCTCACCTGTCTCTCACCTGTCTCTCACCTGTGTCCTACCTGTCTCTCCCCTGTCTCTCCCCTGTCTCTCACCTGTCTCTCACCTGTCTCTCCCCTGTCACTCACCTGTCTCTTACCCGTCTTTCACCTGTCTCTCACATGTCTCTCACCTGTCTCTCCCCTGTCTCTCACCTGTCTCTCACCTGTCTCTTACCCGTCTCTCCCCTGTCTCTCACCTGTGTCCTACCTGTCTCTCATCTGTCTCTCACCTGTCTCTCACCTGTCTCTCACCTGTCTCTCACATGTCTCTCACCTGTCTCTCACCTGTCTCTCACCTGTCTCTCACCTGTCTCTCCCCTGTCACTCACCTGTCTCTCACCTGTCTCTTACCCGTCTCTCCCCTGTCTCTCACCTGTGTCCTACCTGTCTCTCATCTGTCTCTCACCTGTCTCTCACCTGTCTCTCATCTGTCTCTCACCTGTCTCTCACCTGTCTCTCCCCTGTCTCTCACCTGTGTCCTACCTGTCTCTCCCCTGTCTCTCCCCTGTCTCTCACCTGTCTCTCACCTGTCTCTCCCCTGTCACTCACCTGTCTCTTACCCGTCTTTCACCTGTCTCTCACATGTCTCTCACCTGTCTCTCCCCTGTCACTCACCTGTCTCTCACCTGTCTCTTACCCGTCTCTCCCCTGTCTCTCACCTGTGTCCTACCTGTCTCTCATCTGTCTCTCACCTGTCTCTCACCTGTCTCTCATCTGTCCTCTCACCTGTCTCTCACCTGTCTCTCCCCTGTCTCTCACCTGTGTCCTACCTGTCTCTCCCCTGTCTCTCACCTGTCTCTCACCTGTCTCTCACCTGTCTCTCCCCTGTCACTCACCTGTCTCTCACCTGTCTCTTACCCGTCTCTCCCCTGTCTCTCACCTGTGTCCTACCTGTCTCTCATCTGTCTCTCACCTGTCTCTCACCTGTCTCTCACCTGTCTCTCACCTGTCTCTCACCTGTGTCCTACCTGTGTCCTACCTGTCTCTTCCCTGTCTCTCCCCTGTCTCTCACCTGTCTCTCCCCTGTCTCTCACCTGTCTCTCACCTGTCTCTCACCTGTCTCTCCCCTGCCTCTCACCTGTCTCTTACCCGTCTTTCACCCGTCTCTCACCCGTCTCTCACATGTCTCTCACCTGTCTCTCCCCTGTCACTCACCTGTCTCTCACCTGTCTCTTACCCGTCTCTCACCCGTCTCTCCCCTGTCTCTCACCTGTGTCCTACATGTCTCTCCCCTGTCTCTCACCTGTGTCCTACCTGTCTCTCACCTGTCTCTCACCTGTCTCTCCCCTGTCTCTCACCTGTGTCCTACCTGTCTCTCACCTGTCTCTCACCTGTCCGTCCCCTGTCTCTCACCTGTCTGTCCCCTGTCTCTCACCTGTCCGTCCCCGGTCTCTCACCTGTCTCTCACTTGTCTGTCCCCTGTCTCTCACCTGTCTCTCCCCTGTCTCTCACCTGTGTCCTACCTGTCTCTCACCTGTCTCTCACATGTCTGTCCCCTGTCTCTCACCTGTCCGTCCCCGGTCTC